CTGACTGAGGGAGATGAAGTGAAAACAGCAAGAGACTCCAGGAAGAGTATACTCTCTTAACCTTCTCCACACCTCTGTTCTCCATCTGTGAAATGGAGTTAAAATTATATTAACGTTATGACCGTTGTGGGCAGGGGAGGGCTGCAGGGGAATAAAGCACATTGTAAGTTGTTACAGTTGACCCCAGTCAACCAAGAGACGTCGACTGAATATTGGGGATGTGGGCGGAGAAAAGCACCTCAAACCTCCCTTCAGAGCTCTCCTCACCAGAAATTCATGGCCAGTATATTGATAGTCTGAAGCCAGGGGGATGGACGACATAGCCCTGGTGAATCTGGAATCTCTTGGCCCTGAGTAGGGTCTCTGAGGGTATGTATCCCCTGTTTAGAGTATTGTCCCCCTAAATATACTCACATTAGTTTGACTCTGTGTCTTATTTTTGGTTTCAGGAAATACCATCCCCATAATAACCTGTAGGGCGGGTAGGGGATGAGGAGACAGGGTTCTGCCCCTTCTGGCTCTCTGCCCCTTCTGGGAGGGATGTTATGGAACTCCTGGAAGCTTCAGCTCAGGCTTGGAGGCCGCTTCTGGCTGGGTTTCCAGCATCTGGGTCCTCAGGAGAAAGTGGTTTTCTCCTGTGGCCTGTGTGCCTTTAAGACTCCGAGACCAATGGGGGCACCTGACTGGGGAAAATTCCAACCAGTGGGTTCCTTTGAAATGGAAGTGACATCTAGTGGTTTGAAAAAGAACTGCCAAGCTGGCCCCCCAGGCCCAGGCTGGCCCTTGGGGTTCCTTTGCTGGCCACCAGGCCCCTCTCCTCCTGGGCCGCACCCTGCTGGAGGGATTTACAGCCCCAACAATGGGGCTTTCCATGGCAAGTTGGCTCTCCTGGCCCGACACCAGGCTGGAACCCCTACCCAGACCTAGGTACATATACTCAGGTCCAGGGAGACCAGGAGGGGCCCAGGAAGTGTGCCCCTTCCCAGCGTGTCAGGGCCACGGTGTACAGTCCCAGGGGAGCCAGACTCCTTGGACCTTCTGTCCCTTGATTCTGAGGAGCCCGGTCCTGGGTCCAGCGCCACAGAAGTCCTGTGCAGGCCATAGTGCTGAATCAGCGGAAACCTGCGGCCAGGCCGCTGTTATGCAACGGCCCCGCCACTGGCCCGCTGGTGTCAGCTACAGGCCTTTCAGGAAGGCAAAGGGCCTCAGGGGGTGCATGCACCCAGACTTGGAGGTGTGTGAAATGGGCGTCTGCACAGAGCCGTGGCTTTGGAACCAAAAGGGAGGGACAGAGGGGGACAGTGCCCAATCTATGGTTCTCCAAGGTCTCTGACTTGAAGAACCCTAGTCTGAGGGGGAGACACAGTCCTGTCCTCAGGGAGCCCAGTCTGAGGGGGACACAGCCCTGACCCCAGGGAGCCCCAGTCTGAGGCGGACACAGCCCTGCCCTCAGGGACCCCAGTCTGAGGGGGAGACACAGCCCTGCCCTCAGGGAGCCCCAGTCTGAGGGGGGACACAGCCCTGCCCTCAGGGAGCCCCAGTCTGAGGGGGGACACAGCCCTGCCCTCGGGGAGCCCCAGTCTGAGGGGGAGACACAGTCCTGCCCTCAGGGAGCCCCAGTCTGAGGGGAGAAACACAGCCCTGACCTCAGGGAGCCCCAGCCTGAGGGGGAAGTAGCAGCCCTGCCCTCAGGGAGCCCCAGTCTGAGGGGGGAGACAGCCCTGCCCTCGGGGAGCCCCAGTCTGAGGGGGAGTCACAGCCCTGCCCTCGGGGAGCCCCAGTCTGAGGGGGAGTCGCAGCCCTGACCTCAGGGAGTCCCAGTCTGAGGGGAGACACAGTCCTGCCTCAGGGAGTCCCAGTCTGAGGGAGAGACACAGCCCTGACCCCAGGGAGCCCCAGTCTGAGGGGGGAGACAGCCCTGCCCTCGGGGAGCCCCAGTCTGAGGGGGAGTCACAGCCCTGACCTCAGGGAGTCCCAGTCTGAGGGGAGACACAGTCCTGCCTCAGGGAGTCCCAGTCTGAGGGAGAGACACAGCCCTGACCCCAGGGAGCCCCAGTCTGAGGGGGGAGACAGCCCTGCCCTCGGGGAGCCCCAGTCTGAGGGGGAGTCACAGCCCTGACCTCAGGGAGCCCCAGCCTGAGGGGGAAGTAGCAGCCCTGACCTCAGGGAGCCCCAGCCTGAGGGGGAAGTAGCAACCCTGCCCTCAGGGAGCCCCAGTCTGAGGGGGGAGACACAGCCCTGACCTCAGGGAGCCCCAGCCTGAGGGGGAAGTAGCAGCCCTGCCCTCAGGGAGCCCCAGTCTGAGGGGGGAGACACAGCCCTGACCTCGGGGAGCCCCAGCCTGAGGGGGAAGTAGCAGCCCTGCCTCAGGGAGCCCCAGTCTGAGGGGGAGAAACAGCCTTGGTCTCAAGAATCCCAGTCTGAGGGGGAGATACAGACATGCCCTCAGGGAACCCCAGTCTGAACGGGAGACACAGCCATGGCTTTACAAAAATCCCAGGTGAGGGTGAGGGCAGGAAAGAATGACGCACACATGAAACAGGCTCATGACCCTTGAAAAGCTCTGGAAAAAGTCAGGGCAGATGATTATAGGGTAGCAGAGCCCCAGTGGCTGGGCTGGGAAGGAGGCAAGTGATAGGCTCCTGGATTAAGTAGCAAGTTCTCAGGGGAAGCAAGGCCTTTAAAGGTGGCAGGAACTCACCTCTGCCCTCCCTGTGTTTAGATCTGGGTTTTCCCCCCAGTATCTGGCTCACAGGGTGAGGGACCTCAGTCCATCTCAGGTGCTGAATTCAGTAGCACCAGGGCCTGAGCAGATGATAAAAGGGACTAAGCAGGATTGGGAGGGCTCGCTGGCATGGCCTGGACACCTGGCATACCTTCATTTTGTCCCCACCTGCTGTGGTCCTGCCCTGCCACTGCCCTGTCCTGCCCAATGCCCAGAACAAGGCGCAGCTGCTTCTGGCCTCAGCTCTAAACTTCTGGAACTTCTGGAAGCTTCCTTACGCCCCTTCTCTACAACCCTAGGCTCAGGCACATTCTTCTGGGTGAGGAAGTGTCTGTTTCAGAGGTTGAGTGTTTCAAGGTTGACTTCCTGAGAAAGCTGTGCAGTTGGCTTCCTTCTGAGAGACTGAACACCTAGCATCTTATACTCTCTAAACTTTCTGAGGTAGAAAATGCTTGTTTACTTGGTCTTGTTAATTTTTATTTCTAAGAGGTACTATATGGACATGGTAAAACAGAAAATTCAAGTACAGTAACAATTGGTGAATCTAGGTGAAGGGTACAGGCAGTTCTTTAAGACTCTTCTATAAATTTGAAATTACTTCAAAATAAAATAAAAAGCGGGCGCCTGGGTGGCTCAGATGGTTAAGCGTCTGCCTTTGGCTCAGGTCATGATCTCAGGGTCCTGGGATCGAGTCCCGCATCGGGCTCCCTGCTCCTTGGGAGCCTGCTTCTCCCTCTGCCTTTCTCTCTCGCTCTGTCTCTCATGAATAAAAAAAAAAAAAAAAAAAAATCTAAAAAAAATAAAATAAGGGGCACCTGGGTGGCTCAGTTGGTTAAGCAACTGCCTTCGGCTCAGGTCATGATCCTGGAGTCCCGGGATCGAGTCCCGCATCGGGCTCCCTGCTTGGCGGGGAGTCTGCTTCTCCCTCTGACCCTCCTCCCTCTCATGCTCTCTGTCTCTCATTCTCTCTGTCTCAAATAAATAAATAAAATCTTTAAAATAAAATAAAATAAAATAAAATAAAAATAAAATAAAAAGCTAAAAACAAATTCAGAACAGAAATGTAAGCCTCTCTTCCATCTTTTCCTCTGGCCACTACTTAGTTCCCTTTCTTAGAGGCCCCCAAGTTATCAGTTTCCTGTACATCTTTCTAAAGATAGTCCACAATATATTTATAAACTCTTTTTTTCTCCCGTGTAAACGGTGGCATTTCCCTACACTGCTCTGCGTTTTGGCTCTTTCACTTAATATATCTGGAAACCACGTGATGTGAGTACACATAGAGCTGTCTTGTCTTTTTTGTGGCTCCAGGGTATTCCATTGAACGGCTGATTCAAATTTTCACTGGGAAGATACTGTATCATGAAGAGCGTAAACTTGGGAGTTGAGATGCTTGCTCCACTACAGAGCAGTTGTTCAGCGTCGAGCCAGTGAGTCAATCTCTTAGTGACTCAGTTTCCTCATTGGTGGCCCGGGGTTAATAACGGTGTCTACCTCGGAGCGTGTGGTGCAGACTCAGTGAGATGCTACTTGTGCGGGGCGTAGGTCACTGCCTGGCGCGCAGTAAGCACTCAATAAACGCTGGCTGCCACTCCCTCCCGAGATAGTTTTGCCAGACCCCTTTGAGAGAGAGTGGAGCTGTTCCCGGGCTTTTATTACTATAAACAATGCCACCCACGAATATCCTAGTCCACACCTCACTTGGTACTTGTGGGAATGTCTCTGCAGGGAAGGTGCCAGGGACTGGAGTCGCTGGGGCAGAGGCCACGTGCATTTTTAATTTGGAAAGACACTGCCGGGTTGTCCCCCAGCCCCCAGCCCGAGGGGGTCCTCGCCTCACCACCACAAGCCATGTTGGAGCCTGTCTCCCCCCAGCCTTGACAACACGGGCGTGCTCGCTTGAACGCGGCACTTCGCAAATTTACTGTTGTCGTAGAGCTTCTTGGGGGCAGTCACCCAAGTCCATGAGGGTATTTGCTGGGAGCAGCCAAACCCACGCGGCGGGCTAGAATGGTCTACAGCTTGCAAAAGTCTAAGGCTGGCTCTGCCAAGATCCACGCACACGCACTCACTCTACGCATTTTTATTAAATGTACGGCGTTCCACCACGAGTTTGCAATTGTTGGTGGCCGGTTTTTCTGGGCCTGTTAGCACATCACAACTGTTGGTTAAGTCTGATAATACTTCAGATTGTGCTTATTGTCACCATTTCGTGTCCGAGCCAGGGACCTGCAATTTCTAATTACATTGTTAACCTTTTATCCCACCTATGAAGGCACACAGACGACGCTAGTATGCATCTGTCATCGTGGGGAGGCCTGCTTCTTCTACCTGGACTTAGACTTCCTGCTGTGGATCACCTATCAGCCAACCTCTCTCCCTTCTTTTCTTGGAAAATTGGAGCCCATTATTAAAAAAAGAAAAAAGCAGACCCCGCATTGAGTAACCTGTCATCTGAACACCGAAACCTCACCAACACGAAATGTAGCTGAAGGGTGAGTATTCCTTTACAAAAGAGTTTCTACTGAGTTAATTTTAGTAGATTTTTATCGAAGCCCTTTTAGAGGATTAATACAGGCGAAGGATTGTTTGAGGATGGCGGCTTGGGGCAGGAGAGCACACTGTATCTCTTACTGATTCGAAAACGTTCTCACCCATAACCTCCACGTGCCCGGATCTCGCACAGGCCCCAGGCTGCAGTGCTCCCTTATGATTCACTCTGATTGAGGCCGCTGTGCCAGACTTTCTAGGACTTTTGTGGGCTCCCCGGCCTAGTCAGGCATCAAAGCCTCCGATGCCTCCTTCCCCTCCGATGACCTTGCAGATCTGACAAATGCCAAGGACTTTGCCTGCGCTAGATCTGGTGTGGAGTCCGTCCCAGGCTGCTCAGAATGATGGAAACAAATTGGCTGCATCTCCAAAAGCCTCTGGCGGGGGTGGGGGTGGGGGTGGGGGGGTCAGGTTTAAGGTGAGGATGCCCTTAAATGAAGGTCAAATAGGTTTCCTTTTCTCCAATTGTTTAATAAACTACTATTAATCTAATTACAACACACATGCGGAAAGGTGCACAAATCCTGAGTACACAGCTTGATGATTTTGTAACATGCGTCTCATGAGTTTTACATGCAATTAATCATCCAGATCAAGAAAGAGAGCACTGCCAGGTTCCCATAACTCTTGCTCAATGGCCCTCCCCGATTGTCACCCCCATCAAAGGCAGGCACTCTTCTGTCTTCTATTCCTGACAGTTAGCATGGCCTGACTTTGGAATATTATATAAATGGAATCACATCGCATGTACTCGATTGTGTCTGGTGCCCTTTGCTCAGCATTGGGAATTTACCGTGTTGTATGTCCGTTCATTTATTCTCATGGCTCTGTAGTATCCTATAGTGTGAATACACAATGTTTAATCCATGCTAGGACAATCATTGTGCTGTTTCCAGTTCAGGGCTACGGTGAATAATGCTGCTGCTGTAAACATTCTTATCTATACCTTGTACGGGCTTCTTAGGTACCGAGGGGAGGAATTACTGTGCCAGAGGGTAGATGGGGCCATTTTCGCAAGTGCTTTTCCAGTAGTGGTGTATGAGAGTCCAAACAGCTCCTCCACGTCCTCACCCCCACCACAGTCAGTGGTTTCCATTTACCGTTCTGGTGGTCAAAACGACCCTTCCAAACCACACATCTTTTGATCACCTTCCTGCTTTGCCCCAACATTTTATTGTGAAAACTTTCCGACATAACAGAAAAGCTGAAACAATTGTACATTGAGGACCCATATCCGCATGATTGCAAGATCTAATCATGTAGTCGACGTTCGGGGTGATCTTTTTTTTTTTTTTCTCCATGTGTCTAACCATTTATCCATCTATCTGTCAACTGTCTTCTTTTCTTAATTGTCATGCTTCTTCAGGAAGGTAAAACTCATGTATCCTCACACTTATGCATTTCAAGAATATATTCAATGGTTTCGGTAGATTTGGATAGTTGTGCAACCATCAGTAAATCACCTGACAGAGTTCCCTGTGCCTTTTGTAGTCAGTCCCTACTCTGACTCCCAACCTCAGGCGACTGCTCATCTATCTGTTTTCTCTCTGTGGAGTTTTACCTTTTCCGGAAATTTCATATAAATGGAATCATATAGTATATGGTCTTTTCTGTCTGGCCTGTTTCATGAAGCATAACGCTTTCGAGGGCATCCATGCTGTAGCATGCGCACTAGCTCCTTCTTATTGCTGAGCAGGATTCTAGTGTGTGGATATACCTCAATTTGTCTATCCATCCTCCTGTTCATTGTCCCCATAGGGTTTTAATGACAGGATCACAGTCTGTCCTAAGGAGACCTGGCCCATTTATGGCGTGGTCTACTTACGGGAAGAGGAAAAGGCAGAGAGAGACAGAGACAAAGAGGGCTAGAGACAGAGAAGGCAATATTCCTGTTGCCCCCACATGTCCTGTTCAAACCAGCACTGGGCCTCCTCCCTGTTCGGAAAATTCCCGACTGCCCTGTGCTCAGCTATCTCTCTGAACTCTGCATACCTGGCCGGCCGCCCTCCTCTAGTGTCCACAGTTCACTGCCCCAGACTGGTATCTCTTTCATGGCTGACTGTCTCATTAAGTCCTACAAAGTTCACAAAGAACTCAGCATCCTGGCACACGGTTTAGGACTTGGGAAACAGTGGCCTTCAGTGCTGGGCGGGCTCTTTGAGGGCAGGAATCATGGCTTTTGTGTGCTTTTGCTGTAGTTCCAGGCCCAGCACGTCATCGGGCGCACAGGAAGGGAGAACAGTGGACAGGGCAGTGGGTCGGGGAGCCTTATACGGTCAAGGCCTGAGCACCCCGAAGAACTCAAGCCCTCTGGTGAGCTCCGTATTAGGGAATGGCCCCGGGCCAGGTCTGAGGGTCGCCAGATTTGGGTGCCAAACCACAGCTGGGAATGCCAGGATCACTAACGAGGTCCTAGTGAGCCTAGGGAACAAGGAGGCTCCTGCCAACAGAGGCCCAGGCCACTGGGAGTGGTTGCTGGGACCCCGAGCTGGTGAGAGGCCCAAGCAGCAACCAGGCACACTGCTCCCCTCCCACCTCCGTCTCAGCCCGTAATTCCCACAATGCCTAACTTCTCTGCAGACCCCAGGCTGCTCTCTCTGCATGCTTCTCGGAGTGCTGAGTGTGTGGGCTCCCAGGCCTGGGCCAGTGATGCCCCCCTCCCTCCCTCTTTGGCCCCCCCTAAAATGAGGGCCCTGGATCTGAATGTGCCTTAACAGCTGCACTGTCCATGCGTGTTGTGCCTGAAGTTCTCGAATGCAGTGGTTCTCATACTTGAGTGATGCACGCTCAGGTACAGAAATGAGTTCTCGATTCAGCAGATGAGGGTAGAGCCTGAGAATTAATTTTTTGCATGTCTAGCAAGTTCCCAGGTGATGCTCATACTGCTGGGCCAGGCACCAGTCTTTGAAAATTTCGGCTCTAGCACCTGAGTAGCTCAGTCGGTTGAGTGTCTGACTCTTGATTTCCACTCAGGTCATGATCTCAGGGTTGTGAGATCGAGCCCTGTGTCGGGGTCCATGCTTGGTGGGCAGTCTGCTTAAGGATTCTCTCCTTCTCCTTCTGCCTCTCCCCTACTCTCACACACACTCTCTCTAAAATAAATAAACAAATCTTAAAAAAAAAAAAAAAAAAAGAAAGATAAAGAAAATTCCTGCTCTAAAGCTTTGGGTTTCTCCTCCAGGGGCTCAACTTGAACCTTCCTCCTGCCTGCTGGGGGCTGGGGGAGGGCAGGGGAGAGGCATCTGTTTCTTTCTCTGCACAAGTCCCGAGAAACATTTGGATTTTGGTGACCGTGAGGGTAATGGTAGGAAGTTCCCACTGGACTTGCCTCTGGCCACAGGGCATGGCCAGACTTCCACAGGAAGGGGCAGAGACAATGCCTTGTGGCCAGTGTATCATAAAGACAAAAACAGATCAAAGCTGGAGTGTCTGAGTATAAAAATTAGTAAGTGGTTTCATAAAAGAGATAATCAGAACTCACTATCCTTCTAACTGCAGTGTCAGTAATAAACTTAGTTTTGATTTTGGAAGTAACCCCTGTAAGAAGAACTCAAAATTACATGGGTCAGACAAGATAGTAAGTGCAGTTTTCCTGGCAGTGTGCTAGAATGATTGTTCAGCTCAATTCTGCGGTCAAGCTGGGCCTAAAAAAAGGTCCACAAGAGTTCTTTAACACACTCAACCCTCAAGCCAGTCCTATGAGGCAGATAGTCTCATTCCCATTTCACAGATGAGGAAACTGAGGCATCACGTTAAATGGCAGATTCAGGATTCCAGTCTTTTCTTGACTCCACCTCAAACTCGAAACCCCAATGTGAGGTGGTGTTGCCCTCCACCCCCCCTTTTTATTTTTAAATACTGAATGTTAAGTGAGATTCTCCTGAATACTTTCTAGCCAAATTGCTGACACATCAGGCTGAATGAAGGCTAAGGCAAGCTCTTCTGTTCCTTGGGGTGTGAAGGCCCTCGACCCCAGCTGGCTCTACCAGGAGTAATCCAGCATCTCTGCTGTCAGAAATGACAGATTTGGAAAGAGATTCCTCTCTTGGCTTATCTGAGCTTAAGACAGGTAAGCTCGATCAGGGAAGCTGATCCACGGCGATCACTTTTAATTGTTCTTCAGCACCTGGGTGTGTTTAAACAACCAGGTATGCCGCTTAGTGCTCGCTCAGGGGGATTAGAGCTGGCGCTGCGTCAGCTGGGCCCCCACAGCTCACCCCGGGGGACAGATGGGTGGTAAGTGAGGGAAGTGTCTACCTCCTCTGAGTGTTTGCACACGGTCATATGAGTAGGCTCCGCTGGAAGGGGCACCAATCGAGTAGCATACAGGATGCTGTTGCCTCCTGGGACTATGGTGGGCTCCCAGATTTGCGTTACAAATTTCTTCCCAGCCAAAGTTTATCACTCAGTAAAGAATTTAGGCAGGGAGTGAGACCAATTATGGATTAGATAGTGACCTTTGGGTTGGGGCGGATGAGCGCCACGGGTGGCAGGAGTGAGGGTGAAAGTGGGGGAGGAGTGGGGACGCGGGGTTTTGATGGTTGGTGATAACAGAAGATGGTGACAGCCGTGGTGGGGGATGGTGGCACAGGAGATGGGATGTTTGAGGAAGGATGCCTACTGGGACGATAGGCTGAAGAGCTCAGGGAACCAGCTGGAAGGTCCAAAGCCGGGGACGGAAATTTGATCATGGTTTGGGATGGCTGGGGCGAGGGGAGGGTCGCCTGGAGGAGGCATTGCTTTCGGATTACCCACTCCCTCTCCAGAGGTGTCTGCCTCGGGTATTTACAAACCTCCTCCAACAGCACAGCTGAGAGGTCCTTCCTGGCTGAGGTTTAGCAAACCTGTTTCCCGAGGAGGCCTCTTTTCCCACCACAAACGGATGGGTGCTGATGTCAGCAGGAGGCAAAGCTGTAAGTCAGCACGAGTGGGGGCTGTGCTCAGGGGCCAGGGGAAGAAAGGGCCCTGCCTGGCATGGCCTCCTCTGACCCCCCACCCCCCACCCCAAAGGGGAGGCCCTGACCAGCTTTGTGGAGTAGGTGTGCCACCTTGGGTGGCCAGAGGCTCGAGCTTGGAGTCAGAGAACGCTGAACATGGAAATCAGCAGGACCATCTGGTTCATTCCCATGCAAAGAAAAGAGAGGCGTTATGCTTCCCATTTCCCAGATGAGGACACTGAGGCCTTGGCAGGGGAAGAATTGTGCCCAGGGTCTCCTGGACAGGCAGCAGCAGAACCTGGCTCAGCACCTCAGTCTCCAGACTCCTGGCTCTGAATTGTGTTTGTAACAGCACCTCATTTGCACGTGGATGTGGGAGTGTGGAGTGGTGGGCCCATGGGCGGGAGTCCGACAGAACCAGGCTGACTCCTGGGTCTGCCATTCCCTTGAGGGTGGGTGTCACTGGGCGCCTCGGTTTTCTCTTCTGTGAAATAGGAGTGCTCAAGTATCGCTTCTAGGGTGGGGGACAGGAGTCAATGAGATGGGCATAAGTAAAACTCCATATGAATGTTAGTTTTCTTCCCTCCCTGAATCATTAGTCCTAGGTGGGAGCTTTCCGTGTACTTCAGCGTGTGTTTGTGGGTGCTGCTGTGCATGAGAGAGCATGTATAAGACTCCAGATGAGAGAGAGAGAGAGTGTGTGTGTGTGAGAGAGAGAGAGAGAGAACATTGAGATTCACAAATCCTGGCCAGGCAGGCCCAGCGAGGGGAAGCCACATGTTTACTGATCTTGGGAGGCATTAGAGGTTGGAGCCTCTAGGATTGGCCTGGCATGGTGGCAGGGGGGTGCCTGGTGAGGGAGGTGCTTTGGGACCCCCCAGGCTGCTACAAACCCGGCCGGCTGCTGCCCTAGGAGCTGGTGGGGCAGGGCAGGGCTGGTCTCAAGGTTGGGCAGTTCATCTTCGGGGCTTAGGTGAGCTTGTCCCCCAGCCTCAGTCCTCAGAAGTCAGGACTTGGGCATTGATCCTGCCGGGGTCCCCGTGGGCATTTGGAGAGCAGTCCAGTGGGGGATGTCTGATGAAGGGTTGGAAAGTGGGCTTTGAGGACCCTAGGAGAGGGGAAAGGAGGTAAGGCTAGTCCCTAGGCCTCCAGCAAATTCCACCTTCCTTGTACCCCAAAGTGACCCTGCCTCTCCCCTCATTCTGGGAAGAAGCCTGAATAGGTAGAGTCTGGTTATTGGTGCTGTTTATTAACATTTGCATCACATTCCATCTGGGAGCTTGCGGACCTAGGATGCCAATTCACTCCCCGACATGTAGGTTTTGTGATGTCACCAGAAACACTGGATCCTGGAGAATTGCTAGGGCACAGAAGGGTCTCCCTCAGAACTTCTTCTAAACTGCCTATAATCTCCCCCATTGCATTCACAGAGGCCTAATGCATTGGAGTCCTTGCAGGTCAAAGCTGAGGTCAGACCTCGACGGCCTTTCAGTCCAACTGTCTTACTTTACAGATAAGGAAACTGAGGTCCAGACAGGAGGCCTGACTTGCTCAAGATTATACAGTCAGTGGCGGCGTGGGGTCAGAACCTGGTCCAGCCTCTTCCATATTCATTATTTGACTGACTATGCACAAAAGCACGCATTTGGGGAGCATCCTTCACCCGTACCCCGCCCAGCCTCCCACAGGACCTCTAGCTTCATTTTGCTTCATAGCAGCACCTGACATTACATATTTTGTGGTTTACCTTTTGCCCCCCACCAGAATGAAGCTGCATGGGGGCAAGAATTTTTTCCCCATTTTATCCATTGCCATATTGTAAGCATCTAGAACGCGCAGTTGCTCAATAAGGAATAGTGGGATTCATTCCTTCATTCCTTCCTTGGCCACCTCTCTCTATTCTGGAACCTGATAATACGGAGAGGGGTCAGAGCTGGCCCCTGTTCCAGACCCCCCTACCACCACCACCTGAAGGTGGGAGGGATCAGCTTGCCTGGTGAACTCTGGAAGGTCACCCTTGGGGAGGGAGGAGGTAGGGTGAGGTGCCGGGAGACTTTCCTGAGAACCCAGAACTGGGTCATATTTCAGGGTAGAGGCAGGGGAGCCTAGCAAGCACAGAGGAGACCAAAGGTGTGGACACAGGTGGCTTGTGACCAGAGGGAGGGGGAAAGAAAGGTAGAAACCCATGGAGGGTGGGAGTGGGAGCAGGGAGGGAGGCCTGGGGGGGAGAGGGTGAATGTGATGCTGTGGAAGCCTGGGCCCTGGGTGTCTGGGGCAGGCTGTTGGGGGCAGGGGGTGGCAGGGGGACGGACCCTGATGTTTGTTGACGTTTGGGTGGGCTGGAGAGTGGGGGCGAGGGCAGAGAGAAAGAAGTCCAAGTTCCAGCCCCTGCAATGCATATGGTCAGATGGGGAGACATTGCTCAAGCCTAAAGAAGAGCTTTGGTTGGAGGCTCAGTTTTCTCATCTGTAAAATGGTGATGAAGACACGACCCTGGGGGTGGGGGGAGGTGAGCTTTGTCTGAGATGATCTGTCTGAATGCCCTTTGCCCACTGCTGGACCCCCAAACACACGATGGCCTGTCCTCCTAAACACTTCTCCGTTTTCCCTGGGCACAGTCTCTGGGGAGTGGGGCTCTGGGTCTCTGCCGCAAGGAGTGGGCCAGGCCCCACCTGCCTCTGCTCCCCAAGCCCTCTATGGTTGGTGGCCCAAGAGGTCACCCAGTTCCCTCTGTCCCAGTTGACCAGAACCCTCTGGGCTCTGGGGGTGCTGCGGGTTTCCTGGCCAGGGCCCAGGCCCCGGCCTCACTGGGGGCTGTGAACAAGAGAGCAACAGACCAGATTTTGCAAGCCTGAAATAGTTTATGGCCAGGCTGAGGCAGGGAGGAAGGAGGGCATGGCCCCAGGAATGCGGGAGGAATGCCTGGGAGGCTTGTTCCTGCCCCCCACCCCTCCTCAACTCCCTAGGGGAAAGCGAGCCCAGTCTTCGGCCACTGGGTACTGGGCAGCAGAGAGGGAAATGGTTTGGGCCCTAACATTCCAGGGCCAGGGAGTGGGTATATATGTGAGGGGTGAGCTAGTCTTCCTCCCTGGGTATCATCTCCAAGGAGGCCACCGGGATAGACCCATCTGTGCCTCGAACTCCCGTCAGGCTTGCCCCTGACTTGGCCAGCAGCGCCGTGGACCCATATCTTCACTATAGGGAGGGGGGGGGTGGTTTTTGTCTTGAAGCAGGGCCTCTGTGTCTTCCTTTAGACTGGGAGCCCCCTGAGGTCAGGGTTTGTGCGTTCCCTTCAGGCTGGGAATTCTTTAAAGACTGGGACTCTGATGCCCCCATCAAATGGAAGCCGCCCAAAGGGTGGGCTGTGCCACCCCTCACCCAAATGCCTCTCATGGCCAGGATGGGGTGGCTCCCGAAGCTGGGCCTACAAGTGGTCTCCATCCTCATTCCTCCAGGCCCAAGACTCAACTGCCTTCAAACCTGCCTGCAGAGTGGGGAGCCTCTAGGGACCAGCTGAGTCTTGTGGACTGGACACCAGCCTATCAACAGCCTTTGCCCCAACTCCTGTTCACAAGACACCTGAGGCTCTTACCTGTGTGTTGCGGGGAGAAGCCAGGCTTCCATTACCCATCTGGGTAGTCCACTTGGCCCTGCTGGTACCATCCTCTGGGCTTTCTTCTTCTGCTCGTGGTCTGGGGTCCATCCTGGGGAGGGCTTGGGAGTGCACAGGCCATAGCGTGCCATTGTCTGCCCACTAATAATACCTGCACATTCCTGGGGCCTGTATCGGGGCCAGTCATCTTCCCTTTCATGTTTGACCCTGCCCCAGTGAGCCAGTGGATGGGGTGGGGGCTGGATAGGGCCCCAGGTCAGGGGCAGACGGGCAGGAATAGTGGAGGGTGGAGAATAGGTGTCTGGTCTATTCTCAAGGTTCTAGCGCCCCCAGTTCCCACTAAGGCTTCGGCTCTGGTAGGGAAGACACAAGGTGTCAAAACACTGGCTGGCCAGACCCCATCCCTTTTTTTAAGATATGGCTCTCTTGCCTCTACTGGCAGGACATCCCTTTCCAATTCCCTTCACACACTCCTAGACCAGCCCCAAGAGGTCAGTCTGTGGTCAGGGTTATGGATAATCTATGCAGAGTTGGACCACGCTGTGGATAGAATTAGGGGAACTGAGATCAGAGTTGAGGATCAGGCTCTGACCAGGGTTGCAAGTCAGCCTGTTTTCTGGGTTAGAGGGATTAGTCTGGCTAGGTAGGATCAAGGGTCAGACTGTATCCAGGATTAGGGATCAGTTTATACCTAGGATTAGGGGTCAGTCTATACCTAGGACCAGGGATAAGTATATATCCAGAAGTAGAAAGTCAATCTGTTTTTAGGATTAGGACTCAATCTGCACCCAGGACCCAGGCTATATGTAGGATTAAGGTTCAGTTTATACTTAGGATTAGGAGTCAGTCCAGGGGGCGCCTGGCTGCTCAGTCAGTAGAGCGTGCCACTCTTCATCTCAGGGCCGTGAGTTCAATCCCCACATCAGGCACAGACTTACTTAATTAATGAATTAAAAGAAGGACCAGCCTAGACCTAGGAATAGAGTAGTCTATACCCAGAATTAGGGGTTAATGGGCATCCAGGGGTAAGCGTGTGTTTTGCACTGACACTGAACCTATGACTTGGCCACAGAAGGTGATCCTGGCCCATCTGGTCATAGAAGGCAGAGAATACAGTTTGCAGTTTGGTGGAGAGAGAGTTGGCCGATTCCTTAGCCATCCACTCTGGGAACTCACCTCTGGGAGTTACTAGGGACAGGGTGGGGAGCCTCATCCCTCACAGAGAAAGCTTCAACTTGAAAAGTCACCAGCAACACCAGCCTAAGCCCCCTGGGGATGGAGCATGGCACCCAGGCAAGGAAGGGCCCGCGAATGCCTTGGAGACAACATTGCCTAATGCCATGGACGGGAAGAGCCCTCCCTGATCAACTCCCCAGATGGCACTTCTATTTGCACTGGACTCTCGAAACTCATTTACCAACAGCTCACTCTGCAAACATTTCCTGAATACCTACCGTGCTTGAGTCCAGAGGTTCTCAAACTTGACTGCACAGAAGAGTCATCCAGGAAACTTGTGGGAAAGGCCGATTCCCAGGCTCCACCCCAGAGACTTGGGAGCACAAAGGTGCTGGGGGCCGCCCAGGAAGCTGCATTTCCAATAAGCCACCGCGGTAGCAGTTTTAAGACCCTACTTGTGGGACCTATCCTCAAAAGGCTCATCGGTTTAAAAAAGGATTGTGGAAAACACCCGTAATTCTGCCTGGTGAGTTCAGTGGGTTGGTGTCAAGGATTTCCCGGATAAAAAGGTGTATATGACCATTTTCAGAGAAGCCCTGAGAAAGCCCCGCAAGGAAGTAACTAACAGTGAGTCTCTCCCTTGTTTCTGACCACACTAAGTTAAAATTATACCTGCCTTACTGCAAGAGTTGTCTAAAACTTAGCTGTTTAACTATCCCAAAGCATTTTCATGTGCTTGGCAAAGTAGGAGAATTAGACACACAGAAGATGAGTTTTGAGCAGAGACGTGTAAAGCAAAGCATAATTAATGCATTAAATGAGGCAAAGGAAAAGAACGCATAAGAAAATTCTGCCTGCCTCCAGTGCTAAGGACGGGGACAATGCAGCACAGCTGTTATTATTAATAACTCACCAATTGTTTATGAACAATCGTCCCGACAAACACTGCTCAAGCAGCCTAGAGCAGCTTCACTGAAGCCGAGGCCCTGTGCCTTGCCCCCCTCTCCCCCGCAGAGCGCCGCCAGCCAAGAACCCTGCCTGCAGTGGGTCTACGGAAACCACAGGGTGTATGCTTTCCTTTTCCAAATGGTAAATTAAAATATCGATTATGCTTTTGCAGACAGCACATTCCTCTCTCTCCAGCCTGCCCCTGGATCAAGAATCCTGGTGTGGAAGGGCTCAGTGATCTTGAGCACCTTGCTGAAGGCAGGGAGGCTGTACAGTATGACAGTGCTTCCCCCCCATCCCCCCTGTGGCTCACTGCCATGTGGCATGCTTCTGCAAGGTTACATAAACTTTCTTTATTTAAGGTTTCCACTCTTCCCTCGGAGAATGAATGGACTTCCGGGCCTGCCTGTGGGGCAGGAGCTTAAGGTATTGTGCTGCTCAGAGGGGGAGAGAGGGCTGGACAGAGTCCCAGGAGCTCCTGGAGGCTACACCCTCCCTGTCTGGTCCTGGGAATCTGGACCCTCCTGCTGAGAGGACAGGAGGTGACCTTCCATTCCTCTGGGCTGGGCTGCAGGCCATCTGGTCACAGGCTCCTTGAATCCCGCCAGGGAGATTTTTCATTTATCTTAGTTAAATTTCACCTTTGTTGGGTTTAGGCCAGCGTTTCCAGAGTGGTATGGGATCCCTCTGGTTCTTCCAGCCGGCCGTGGCTTTCCCAGCCCTCTGGATACTCCCTTCCTTCAGAGTCGCACCTCCCCAGGGCATTGCTCCCTTTCATTCATTCATTCATTCATTCATTCATTCATTCATTCATTCAACAAGGCTTCACTGAACAGCCCTGAGATTCCCCATCTGGGGCTAGGCACTGAGCTCTAGAGGTAGACCCATGGTCACGGTGTAGACGGATGACCAGGCTCAGAAGCAGATCACTTCTCTCTAGTGTGGTATAAGTATGCCAGGGGATTAAGGGGGCATGGAGGGCCCATGGAAGATAAGGAAGTCTTCATGAGGGAGATAACACTTTATCTGAGTCTCAAATTAGGAGAAGGGAAGAGTGGACTGGGGGTGTCCAGGCAGAGAGAACCTGGAGTCTGGAAACAGCATGGCCAGGGATATTTTAGAAGTCACCTTCTAAGGTCTGCATTGTGAGGTCAAAGTGGAGAGAGTGTGGGGCTGAGGCTGGAGAAGCCTGTAGGGGCAAGGTCCTAGTAGAGTGTGGGGAGCCAGGGCCTCCCCCCGGGTAGCGGGGTAGTGGAGAACATGGAAGGTTTCAACTTGAAGAGAGTGACCTGGTCAGGTCTGCCAACTTGACACTGTCCCTTAATAGGACCTGATGTATCTTTTCCATGGCTGTGGGTTCTTTTTTTTTTTTTTTTTAAGGTTTTATTTATTTATTTGAGAGAGAGGGAGTACACATGAGTTGGGGGGGAGGGGCAGAGGAAGAGGGAGAAGCAGATTCCCCGCTAAGCAGGGAGCCCGGACACTAGATCCCAGGACCCTGAGATCATGACCTGAGCCAAAGGCAGATGCTTAACTGACTGAGCCACCCAGGCGCCCCGTGGCTCTGGGTTCTTAACAGCTCTGGGAAGGTAGGTTGCCGTAAGAACTGGACAGTGTCATGAGCCACTGAACTGCAAAATCTGGGGGAGCGAGAAGTCTTCCAAGACAGAGGAGCCTGGATTTAGATCCCTCACTATGTGAGTTCTGCCAAGGTATGGAAACTACCTGAGCCTCAGCGGCCTCATCTATAGAATGGGAGCAATCAAATACTGAAGGCCAAGTGGCAGTGAGCAAGTGAGAGAGCCTAAATGAGAAGCTGTCGGGGAGGGGGGCTGGAGCTCATTCCAAGACTGTAAGTGGGGGGACCAGAGCCCCCTGGCTGCCGTCTCCATGGCTGCGTGAGCTGCTGTCTGTGATGTTCTTCCTCGCGGGAGGTCTGATAACAGAGCCTGGAGAGCTATCCCCACCATAAACAGTCAGGCCCTGGGTTTCTCCTCCTGATCTTGTACCTCAGCCCTGTGTGCCCTGTGGCCCACCAGCCCTCTGGCTCCAGAGCAGGGGTGGGGAAGAGAGGGGTCTGCCCAGCTTCCGGCAGGCCTCACAGTTGTGCAAGGCCATCTGATTCCAAACAAACTGGGAACCTACCACCTCCCTGGCAATTCCAATCATTCTGGCCAGCAGGTGGCCAGGCTTACACTGTTTGGGACAGTCAGGGCTCAGGTCCCAGGCCAGGTCTGCCTGACCAAGGCTGAACCTAGTCTCACGGTATCAGGGGCTGGCATGGCTGGGTCTCTGGTGCAATGGAAAGAGCTCTGGGCAGGGAGTCAGGGGTTCTAGGTTCTAGTCCTAATTCCCCCACCAACTCACTGTGTGACCTGGGGTAAGTTCCTCACCCTCTCTGGGCCGTAGTCATTTTAGCTGAACCTCAGGAGTTTGGTGGTGATGATCCAGGGTGCCTTCCATTCTGGCGTGCTGGCCATTTGAGTTGCTGGGACCTAAGTCCTTGGAAAGATGACGTGGCTTTTCCCCAGACTCCGGTCAGGGGGCATACCGCCCCTTCTCATTTATTCCATATCGGCTCCAACTCCAAAGAGCAAACCACAGGCATGAGAAGAACTCTGGTCACATGTGGGTGGCCTGTGTAAGAGTGAGGAAGAGCTTCTTGGATGTTTTGGAAGCTTCCAGGTGCTGCTTCATTCATTAGTCCATACATTCTCTCATTCAATGAAATTGAAGAATGAATTCATTCATTCCTTCTTCATTCACTTGGTTAATAATACGAAGGGGCCCTATGATATGCCGGACCCTGTGCTAGGACCTGAGATTTACTAGTGAGCCAGATGGGTAGAGTCCTTTGCCTTACCGGAGCTCGTGGCCTGGCCTGGCCTGGCCTATTTTTCCAGAGAAGCTGGAATGGAGCAGGCCCACGTGTAGCATCTGAACCTCAGCCCTGGGAGCCCTGAGACCCAGTGAGACCCCGTCCACCCTAATCCTCTAGAACCCTGTCCTAACCACTGAAGGGGAAGTGAAGGAGAGAGGAAATATGTCTCTGCTCCAGGAAACTCCCATGCTGTGAGGATCCCCAGCCCTCACTTCTGGAGCTGGTCCTGGAGCCAGCCAACCCCTCAGGGACCCACGGGAGCCATGCATCAGCAGGCGCAAAGCCAGGCCCTGCCCTGAATGGTCTGGGTGAGGGCAGCCTGCAGCTCCCAAGGAGCAGGGAGTCTTTCTCTGGGCTGCTGCCTCTGCTTATGGATAATACAGTGCTCAGTAAGAAGGGTTTGGGAAATGGAGGCTGGACATAGCTCCATAGCCATGTGGAAGGAGGGGTCGTGCCCTGGGGAAGACTCTGGGTCCTTCCAGAACTTGGGGATGTGGAGAGGGGCTGCTTTGCTGGGCACCACATGGTGTTCTCACCAGCACAAGCCTGCCCTTGCACCTAGCAAAAGCAAGGATGGTGTCAGGGCATAGGCCCACTTGCAGGGGACCTGGCCCAGAGAGAGGAGTGCCTTCAACAGGGGTGAGGGGCACCTGGGCCACGCCCACCCTCCCTCTACACCATGGCCAACTTGACTAGCCCCTCTCCCTCCTGGCCTTCCAGGCTCCTGGGGAAGGGATGCAGAGGCTCAGGAGAGGTGTCTTGCTCTGCTGCACCCCCCCGCCCCCCCGCCACTTCTTGCACCGGGGCTCTTGCCAGAGTTCAAACGGGCAAACATTAACAGACTCCTTCTTTTCTGTCCCTTCTCTGTCACTGACCTTTCAATAGTCTCCATTTTGTGTAGACCCCTGTTGAACTTGGCCTTTTGGGCGGTTCCAGACGTATGTTTAGTATTCCAACCAGTTACACTAATCTAATATCCCAAGTCACTATTAGTTGAGCTGATTTTCTCCTGGGGAAATGGAGTCCCGGAGGCAGGACAAGGACTTGCCAGCTCATACGTCCAGCCAGGGCGGAGCTCAGACCACAACCCTGGGCTTCCTCAGGTTCCCCAGCTGGCTGCCTCCTGGGGCTTGCTCCAAAACTCCAGGCGGGACCAGCTGCATAATTTGTGGGGTCTACCGCAAAATGAAAATGCAATGCCACTTGTGCAAACATTATTAAGAATCTCAAGATAGTGACAGCAGAGCATTAAACCAAGTATGCAGCCCTTCTACACATGGGGCCTTGTACAAGGACACAACTCACGTGTCTGCAGAGCTTGTCTGAACCCTAGGAATGTGGAAGGAGGAGGGGGGACCCCAGCCAGTTCGCCCCTGGGAGATCAGAGGATGCGCCCCTCCTTGCTGGATGTGTCTCGGAGTCAGCCAAGATTTCCAAGACCAGTAAAAGCCACCGTTTGGGGATCACTCCTGCGTGGAGGGTCAGTGGGGTGCAACGCCAGGCTTTCCAAAGGCGGTGGGGGGAGACAGACCCAGAGGTATATCTTTATTAGCAACTGGCTGTCTTAAACATCCCCCCCATGGAAAGTTCTTAGGGACCCCCAGGAGGGACTGGAGGTGCCCCCACAGCTACCAGCAGAGGTTCCAGGCGGAGTGATGAAGGACGTGCCGAGGGGGAGGAGGCGGCCACAGTTTCTA